AATCCCCAAGGGGGAAATAGCCTTTCCCAGAGAGTGGCCGGGCAGTGTCCCTTGACCCTCCACCTCGGGGAGACCAAACAGCAGGCGCGGGAGGGGAGGAGGGCAGGCGGGCGGGCAGGCATGCAGGCCGGAGGAGGGCTCGGCCAGTGGTTCTCCCCCTTCCTAATGCCGCGACCCCTTCCCACAGCCCCTCATGTTGTGGTGACCCCCAGCCATCGCGTTATTTGCGTTGCTCCTTCATAACAGCAATAACTTTGCTCCTGTTACGAATCGTCATGTGAATCTCTGATCTGCAGGGTGGGCTTTCATTCACTGGACCCAACTGGGCACACATACCCAATACACCCAAATCTGAATACTGGTGGGGTGGGGGTATGGATTGATTTTCATCATTTGGGAGTTATAGTTGCCGGGATTTATAGTTCACCTACAAGCAAAGAGCATTCCGAACTCCAACAACTATGGAATTGAACCAAACTTGGCTCACAGAACTCCCACGCCCAAGAGAAAATACTGGAAGGGTTTGGTGGCCATTGACCTTGTGTTTGGGAGTTGTAGTTCACCTACATCCAGAGAGCACTGCCAACTCAAACAAAGATGGATAAGGACCAAACTTGGCACAAATACTCAGTAGGTCTGAATGTGGCCACTGGTGGAGTTTGGGAGAAATAGACCTTGACCTTTGGGAGTTGTGGTTGCTGGGATTTATAGTTCACCTACAAGCAAAGAGCATTCCGAACTCCACCAACTATGGAATTGAACCAAACTTGGCACACTGAACTCTCTTGACCAACAGAAAATACCAGAAGGGTTTAGTGGGCATTGACTTTGTGTTTGGGAGTTGTAGTTCACCTACATCCAGAGAGTGCTGTGGACTCAAACAATGATGGATCTGGACCAAACTGGGCACGGATACGCAATAGGTCCGAATGTGGACACTGGTGGAGTTTTGGAGAAATAGACCTTGACATTTGGGGGTTGTGGTTGCTGGGATTTATGGTTCACCTACTACCATCAAAGGGTATTCTGAACTTCACCACTGATGGAATTGGGCCAAACTTGGCACACAGAACTCCCTTGACCAACAGAAAATACCAAAAGGGCTTGGTAGGCATTGGCCTTGTGTTTGGGAGTTGTAGTTCACCTACATCCAAAGAGTGCTGTGGACTCAAACCATGATGGATCTGGATCAAACTTGGCATGAATACGCAATAGGTCTGAATGCGGACACTGGGAGAAATAGACCTTGACATTTGGGAGTTGTGGTTGCTGGGATTTATGGTTCACCTACTACCATCAAAGGGCATTCTGAACCCCACCAGTGATGGAATTGGGCCAAACTTCGCACACAGAACTCCCATGACCAACAAAAACATCCTGTGTTTCCTGATGGGCTTTGGCGACCCCTCCCCCAGGGGTCCTGACCCCCAGGCTGAGGAACCCTGGCCTAGGCCCAGCCTGTCTGTCCCTCCCCCCCCTCTCCCCAGAGGCGCCTTGGACTACAACTCCCAGCAACCCCGGCCAGTTTACCAGCAGCCGTGAGGGATTCTGGGGTTTTTTGAAGGGGGGGGGGGAGGCAGGCAGGGCAGGAGGGAGAGGCCGCTGGGGGGGGGGAGAAGAAGAAGAAGAAGGGAAAGGCCCCCCCATCCCCTCCCCTCCCCTCCGGAGAGAGAGGCCTCGCCCTGACGCAAGAAGGGCCCCATCTTGGAATTGGCCGCTTCTTCCCCTTTAAACATGCAAATGAGCCCCGCGGGAGGGAGGGAGGGACGGAGGGAGGCGCCCTCTCCCTGAGCGACAGCCCATCAGCCTCCCGGGCGGCCAATCAGGAGCGCGCCTGCTCCGCAGAGGCCCCGCCCCCTTGCTGGCGAGAGAGGGCGAGGGGGCGGGGTGGTGACGTCACTCTCAGGCCCCTCCCCTTCCGCCGCCGGCGCCATTTTGGAAAGAACTGAGAAGAGCGACGGAGGCGAAGAAGGAAGGAAGGGAGGAAGAGGGAGGGAGGCGAGTTGGAGGGGAAGGGGAAGGGGAAGGGGAGGGGGTGGAGTGGCCCTCCCGCGGCCCAGTCCCAAGGAGAACGACGAGCCCCCCCGCCGCCCCCCTCCTCCCCCTCCTCCCCCTCCCAGGGGCTGCTGGGAGTTGTAGTCCAAGGCGAGGCCTCCCAGGGATCCCCTCAGGGAAGAAGAAGGGGGAAGGGGAGGGGGAAGGGGAAGGGGGGGCAGCAGGGGGCAGGGACTCCTCCTTCTTCTCTCCTGGCCTGGCCTCATAAGAGTACATGGTAGGTACAGAGAAGAGTAGTAACGTATTTATTTATTTATTTATTTGCTTTGCTTCTATTCCGCCTTTCTCAGCCGAGATGGCGACTCAAGGCGGTTTACACAGTAAAGATTAAACACAATAACATCAAAAAGGCAATTAAGAACACAGTTATACAAAACATATCAAGTCAAAAACAATCATTATAAATATATGTATAAATACCTGAGAGGAAGCCACAGGGAGGAGGAGGAGGGAGGGAGCTTCCTTTCTGCTTCCCTGGAGACTAGGACGCAAGGGAGGAATGGCTTCAAACCACAAGAGAGGAGATTCCATCTGAACATGAGGAAGAACTTCCTGACTGTGAGAGCCGTTCAGCAGTGGAACTCACTGCCCCGGAGTGTGGTGGAGGCTCCTTCCTTCTTTGGAAGCTTTTAAACAGAGGCTGGATGACCGTCTGTCAGGGGTGATTTGAATGCAATATTCCTGCTTCTTGGCAGGGGGTTGGACTGGATGGCCCATGAGGTCTCTTCCAACTCTTTGATTCTATGATTCTCCCTAGAATTGTCTAAGGGAGGAATGGCTTCAAACACAAGAGAGGAGATTCCATCTGAACATGAGGAAGAACTTCCTGACTGTGAGAGCCGTTCAGCAGTGGAACTCTCTGCCCCGGAGGGAGTGTGGTGGAGGCTCCTTCCTTCTTTGGAAGCTTTGAAACAGAGGCTGGATGGCCATCTGTCAGGGGTGCTTTGAATGCAATATTCCTGCTTCTTGGCAGAATGGGGTTGGGCTGGATGATGGCCCAGGAGGTCTCTTCCAACTCTAGGATTCTAGGATTCTATGATTCTGTGACCCCCCCCCCAAACATCCCTTTCCCCCTGGCTCCCCTCCACCCACCCCACAGGACCCCCATGGCAAGCCCTTGCTTGTACCCATTCCGGTGGAGCCGTTGCAGGGGTTCCTCTGGCCTTGGCAGACCCGGCTGCCCTCTTGGAGGGAGGTGCTGTTCCACCGTCGCTGCCCCCGGGGCAGTCCAGCCTCCCAGGAAGGACCCTGCAGGACAGAAAGGCTGCTCTCATTCAAGGCCTGATATCTTATTATTTTCCTAATAATTTCATATTCTTGCTCTTTACTGTTTAAAATTGTATTATATCTCCAGATTCTGTCTTTTCTCTCTATTTCTAATTGTACTTTAACTCTTAATGGTGCATGATCTGACCAATATATTGGAAGTGTTTTTGCCTCTAGAATCAATGATTGGTTTGTGTTTTTCCCTAGAATATAATCTATTTTACTATATGTATCTTGTCTTCCTGAGTAATATGCCCATCTATTGTTCTCTGATTCCCCTTCTAATAGGTCCTGCATGTTGTATTCTCTTATATTTAACTTTCTATTATTATTTTGCCTTGTTGTTACTAATTCCAAGTTATAATCTCCCGCACAATGCAATTCCCCTTCTGCAGACTTATCCACCTTTCTAAATACTTGTTTTATATACCTTTTTTGATTTTTGTTTGGGGCGTATATACAAACCAAAGTAATTCTAATTTCTCCTATTTTTCCTTTTATCATTACCCACCTCCCCTCTGAATCCCTTTTTACTTTTTCCACCTGAAAATCTATTGTGTTTTTAATTAAAATAGCCACACTCCATGCTCTCTTTGAACCTCTGGATTCATTAATCTGACTCAAAATCCTGTCCTTAAATAGCGGTGTACTGTCCCGCAATCTTTTATGTGATTCTTGTAAAAATAGCACATCTGCCTTGTTATCTTTCACCATTTTCATCAATTTTGCTCTTCGCTGTGGAGCTGATAAGGCGTTACAGTTATACGACATAATTACAATTCCAACCATAACACAATGTGGTTTGCAATTGCCGTCCTGTAGTTTCTCTTCCCTGTTTCCTTGTCTTCCCCTCCCACTCCCCCACTCCCCTCAGAGTCCAGCAGTCTTCTCCCTCTTCCCCTCAGAGAAGTATTCCATCTGTTCTTCTCTTCCATCCCAGAGTCCCCCCACGGTGGCTGCCTTGCCCTTCACCAGCTCCCCCGCACTCCTGCAAGTTCTTAAACCCCATTTATCACAGTCCTCTTGTTTTTAGGCTGCTTCTTTCTTATATCCCCATAGTGGGTCTTGTTTCCATCCTTGACTCTCCTCTAAGCTTTTGGCATTTCGGTTCTCGAATCTGTTTCTCCGTGTATTTCAACTCCTGCAAATCGTCCCTTCAAGTTCTTTTCTCTTGTTCCTGCTTCTCTTCTCTGCCCTTCGCCTCTCCATGGCAAATAGTGTTTGAGAAGAACATTCCTCTGTCAGTCCACCTACTTCTCCATCTGCCGCCTCGCCCAGCTGTCTTGTGAATGTCCTTGGCATATTTACTCCTTCCCTTTCTCCATAGGAAACTCTGAGCTTCTTCTTCTTCTTTATCTGACTCCTCCGCTCTGCCCAATGCTCCTCCTTCTGTCTCCAGCCTTAGTGGCCTCCGCATTTTCCTCCCACTCTCCAGATTAGTGGCTTTGTAGAATTTATTGTTACTATAGATCATCAAGGTTGCTGGAAAAACCCAGGTGTAACGCTGGCCCCTTTTTTCAAGGATCCCTGTAATTTCCCTCATTTCAGCTCTTTCTTCAATGTCTCTGGTGATAGGTCCAAAAGTGGCCAGACCGTTTTACCAGCCAAGGTCAGGTTTTTAATTTTCTTCAGCTTCCGAAAGATAGATTCTTTATCAGCCTCCCTTGTGAATTTAATTAAGATGTCTTTGGGTGTTTCTTTTTCCCCCTCTGTAAGCCCAATGCACTCTTTCTATCTGTTCTGATGAAATTTGAGTCAATGTCTGTAACCAAATAACAATATCCTCTTTCAAACTCTCTTTGATTTGGAAATCTCCTCCTCCTCCTCCTCCTCCTCTCAAACGTATGTTTGCGTGTCTGGAACGATCTGCAAGGTCAGCAATTTTGTCTAGGAGTTGTTGATTTGCATATTTTAAGTTATTGATCTCCTCTTTTTGTTTCTTAGACTCCTCTGCTGCCTCCTTGAACATTCCCTCATATTTTTCCACCCTGTCCTCGATCAGTCCGAGACGGGAATTAATTCCTTTAATTCGCTCCTTTATTTCATCATTCCCTTTTCTTAAGCAATCAGAACTTAGCTTGAGTTCTTGCAAGTTTTTCATAATTCTGTCCAATTTATCTCCCCACTCTGCTCTCTCTGCCATCACGAAAACTTACTTTCACTTCTTCCTCGGCCGGTCTGTTTGGTTATTTCTGAAATTTATAGCTCCAGGCACCTCTTTAGCTTCTCTTTCCGTCCAGATCCAGGTTGAGGAAAGATTTATTGTCTCATTGGGCTTTTTAAAGCTTTTATGCTTTTGCCATCAGGGAGCGAGGTCTGAGTGCATCTACTCTGGCGGACGCATCCCACAGCACCCCCGGCTCCTTGTTCCTCAGCTTCTGGGGTCACCCAACTCTCCACCCACCTTCCAGTCGGCAGTGTCCAGTTGCTGTTGCGATGAAGCAGCTGTGCTCCAGCCCGGCCTCATGGCAGCCGTTGCCGGATTTGGGGTGCTCAGGAAGCAGAATACGGGACCCATGGTGGGATGGGAGGCAGCCCAGGCATGTTGGTGTCCCTCCGCATTTAGCACATCCTGGGAATTCGGGGAAACTCGGGATCCAGAGCAAAAGACCCTCTTGAATAGAGGAAAGAACTCCTCCTTTCCGCCTGCTTCCTGCCTCCCGTTCCTTTAGCCACGTTTGTGTCCAACACAAGGATCTCAATGTGAGGCTCCAACGTTGGAATGGTTTCCCTTTCTTCCTGCTTTCATTCATTCATTCTCTTCTTCTTCCCTCCCTCCCTCCCTCCTTTTCTTCTCTCTAAATTCATTCCCTTCTTTTTAAAGAATCTGTGCTTGCCTTGGCTGGTGTCTGTGTATGCGCTTGAGACCCCGATCCCTGCATGCCTTGCTATTTCCGTTTTCAACGTGACCCTGAAGGGAAAGGGGGAGGCTTTGGGGGCAAATACGGTCCCTGGCTTCCATGATTGATGTTTTGCTTCTCTCCTGACCAGGGAAATGAGGAGTCTATGGAGCCACTTCTTGGGTGCAGTAAGGACGCCAATGATAGAGGAAGAAGGAATCTTCTCAAGGAGATGATCTTGTTGAATTCTTGACCCCATTTCCAGACAAGAAATTAGAAAAGGAAGAGTCAAGTGTCTGTATTGCAATTAAACACCCATGCCACTGTTGACAGGAAGGAGAAAGCATCGAGGTGTCGTCTGCAGCAGCACAAAATGAATCGTTCTGGGAAGAAACGCTGTACATGCCAGGAGTGCGGAAAGAGCTTCACTTGTAGTTCAGCTCTACGGACACATCAAAGGACTCACACTGGGGAGAAACCCTTTACATGCCCAGAGTGTGGACAGAGCTTCGCTCAGAGTTCATCTCTACGTTCACATCAAAGGACTCACTCTGGGGAGAAAGCCTATAAATGCCTCGAGTGTGGACAGAGATTCACTCATAGTTCAGGTTTACGTTCTCATCAAAGGACTCACACTGGGGAGAAACCCTTTACATGCCCGGAGTGTGGACAGAGCTTCACTCAGAGTTCAAATCTACGTTCACATCAAAAGACTCACACTGGGGAGAAAACCTTTACATGCCCGGAGTGTGGACAGAGCTTCACTCAGAGCTCATCTCTACGTAAACATCAAAGGATTCACTCTGGGGAGAAAGCCTATAAATGCCTCGAGTGTGGAAGGAGCTTTACTCATAGTGGAAATCTACGTTCACATCAAAGGACTCACACTGGGGAGAAACCCTTTACATGCCCAGAGTGTGGACAGAGCTTCACTCAGAGTTCATCTCTACGTTCTCATCAAAAGACTCACACTGGGGAGAAACACTTTACATGCCCGGAGTGTGGACAGAACTTCACTCAGAGTTCAAGTCTACGTTCCCATCAAAGGACTCACACTGGGGAGAAAGCCTTTACATGTCCGGAGTGTGGACAGAGCTTCACTCAGAGTTCAAATCTACGTTCACATCAAAGGATTCACTCTGGGGAGAAAGCCTATAAATGCCTCGAGTGTGGACAGAGCTTCACTCATAGTTCAGATTTACGTTCCCATCAAAAGACTCACACTGGCAAGACACCCTATACGTGCCAAGAATGTGGAAAGAGTTTCACTCAGAGTTCAAATCTACATGTTCATCAAAGGACTCACACTGGGGAGAAACCGTATACGTGTCTGGAGTGTGGACAGAGCTTCACTCAGAGTTCAAATCTACGTTTACATGAAAGGACTCACTCTGGGGAGAAACCCTATACATGCCTGGAGTGTGGACAGAGCTTCACTTCCAGCGGAGGTCTACGCTCACATCAAAGGACTCACAAAGGAGAGAAACCCCATAAATGCCTGGAGTGTGGAAGGAGCTTCACTCATAGTGGAAATCTGCGTTCACATCAAAGGACTCACAATGGGGAGAAACCCTATACATGCCTGGATTGTGGACAGAGCTTCACTCAGAGTTCATCTCTACGTTCACATCAAAGGACTCACACTGGGGAGAAACCCTATACATGCCCGGAGTGTGGACAGAGCTTCACTCAGAGTTCATCTCTACATTCACATCAAAGGATTCACACTGGGAAGAAACCCTATACATGCCTGGAGTGTGGAAAGAGCTTCACTCACAATGGAAATCTACGTAAACATCAAATGATTCATGCTGGGGAGAAAGCCTATAAATGCCTGGAGTGTGGACAGAGCTTCACTCATAGTTCTGGTTTACGTTCTCATCAAAAGACTCACACAGGCGAGAAACCTTATACATGCCAAGAATGTGGAAAGAGTTTCACTCGGAGTGAACATCTACGTAGACATCAAAGGACTCACACTGGGGAGAAACCCTATACGTGTTTGGAGTGTGGACGGAGCTTCACTGAGAATGGAAGTCTACGTTCACATCAAAGGACACACACTAGGGAGAAACCCTATAAATGCCTGGAGTGTGGGAAGAGCTACACTCAGAGTTCCCATCTACGTAGACATCATAGAATTCATACTGGGAATAAACCCTATACATGCCTGGAGTGTGGACATAGCTTCACTTGCAGTGGAGGTCTACGCTCACATCAAAGGACTCACACAGGAGAGAAATCCCATAAATGCCTGGAGTGTGGAAAGAGCTACACTATGAGTTCACACCTACGTAGACATCAAAGGACTCACACTGGAGAAAACAATGGTATTTGACTCCAGACAGAGCTTTGCAAACTTTGCATGTTGGTGACACACTTAGATATGCATCCTTTTGTGACACATTAATCCGGTTTAACTGGCAAACCGGAGGTTAAACCACACACACACAAATTTACAATAAAATATATAATGTAATAGTATATAGATACTACTTCGCCGGGACCTCCCCGCCACAATTGATACAGTGAGAGAACTTGAGACCCCGTGGCCACTGGCTGGGCCCGTCCTTGACCGGTTCATCCCGCTGGACGCAGGGGCTGTCGATAGGCTCATGGCTGCAGCTAGACCGACCACTTGCTCCCTCGATCCGTGTCCCTCTTGGCTGGTGAAATCCTGCTTGGAGGGATTACGCGACCCTCTGTTGAAGATCATAAACAGCTCCCTTGAGCAAGGAGTCTTTCCAGAGGGTTTAAAAGAGGCGGTGGTCTCTCTCTCCCCTGCTGAAGAAACCAGACTTCAATCCCTCGGTTCCCTCCAGTTACCGCCCAGTTTCGAATCTCTCGTTCCTGGGCAAGGTGATGGAGAGGGCAGCAGCGGAGCAGTTGCAGCAATTCCTAGACGACACCGCTGGACGAGATCCCTTCCAGTCCGGCTTCCGTGTGGGGCACGGGACAGAGACTGTGCTGGTCTTCATCACAGATCGCCTTCGATGCCAGCTTGACCAGAGCGGGTCGGCGCTGCTTGTGTTATTGGACCTCACAGCAGCATTGGACACAGTCGACCACAATCTTTTGACCCACCACCTTGCTGCTTTTGGAGTCAGGGGGAGAGCTTGAAACTGGCTGTCCTCCTTTCTTCACAACCGTGGACAGCGAGTGGAGAGGGGAGGCCTGGTCTCCGAGAGGTCCCCTCTCTCTCTCTTGTGGGGTTCCTCAGGGGGCCATTCTCTCCCCTCTCTTGTTTAACATCTATATGCGACCACTTGCTCAGCTGGTTCGAGGTTTTGGGCTTGAGTGTTATCAGTACACCGATGACACTCAGCTGGTGCTGAAGATGGAAGGCCGACCGGACTCTGTACCCGATTATTTCCATCAGTGCCTCGAGGCCGTGACTGGATGGCTGCGTGCCAGCAGGTTGAGGGTGAATCCAGCAAAGACGGAGATCCTATGGCTGGGTCAACCGGGCAGTGGGGACATCCAGCTGCCTACCCTGGATGGCGAGGCGCTACGCCCGTCCTCGTTGGTCAAGAGTCTGGGAGTCCTTTTGGACCCTCTGCTGAGGATGGAGGCCCAGGTCTCCGCCGTGAGCAGAACCGCCTTTTTTCACCTGCGGCAGGCTAGACGGCTGGCCCCCTACCTGTCCAGGGACGACCTAGCTACGGTGATCCAGGCCACGGTCATCTCAAGACTGGACTACTGTAACGCCCTCTACATTGGCCTTCCTCTGTCGGTGATCGGAAGCTCAAGTTGGTACAAAATGCAGCTGCTCGGCTTCTTGCGGGAATTCCGATGAGATGCCACATCACCCCAATCTTTCTGCAGCTGCATTGGTTACCCATTGAGCACCGGATCACTTTCAAAGGGATGGGACTCACCTTGAAGGCCTGGCATGGTCTGGGGCCAATGTACCTGAGGGACCGCCTCACCCCCTACCAACCCCAGAGATCCCTCCGTTCTGAGGACCAAGATCTATTGGAAATTCCCAGTGTCAAGACCTTGCGTCTAACAGCAACCAGACGCAGAGCCTTTACAGCAGTGGCACCATCACTCTGGAATACTCTGCCACCTGAAGTCCGTGCCTTGCGGGACTTATCAGCTTTCCGCAGGGCATGGAAGACATACCTGTTTCGACAGGCCTTTGATCTTTGATATTGCTGTTTTTAAATTGTTTTAAATTGTTTTTAAATTGTGTTAGATTTTAGCCATTCTTGTAAGCCGCTCCGAGCCCCAGGGAAGGGAGTGGCCGCATAGAAGTTCGAATCATAAATAAATAAAAATATTCAGCCACAAAATTAAATTACCTCCCACATACATACATACATACAATGACTGTTGTATAGATATTATAATAATAATAGTAATAGTAATAATAATTTGTTTTGTACCCTACCACCATCTCCTTGAAGGGACTCGGGGAGGTTAACCAAGTACTCAAGGTGCCACACATGAAATAGAATCCCTATCTAGCCCTCTCATCGGTGTCTTGGCCCATTCTGTAATTCTGGCCATTGGTAGTTCATCTTTTGCCCAATGGAATAGTATTGGAACTGACTTTCAATATGTAGGACTGTTTTAGTAGTATTGTGTTTATGTTTTATAGTGGTTCTGTGTGATTTTGTGTTGGCAATCGAATGTTTTGCCTGTTGGAAACCGCCCTGAGTCCCCTCAGGAAGATAGAGCGGCATACAAATAAAGTTGTTATTATATCATCAAAACAATACACAGTTTGACTGAATACAAACAATGGACAATGTCAATCAATAAAATTTAAGATTTTAAGAATTCTAAAACACAGTTCTTCCTACCTGTGGGCAATTGGGCTTCTTCAAACATGAATTCAAGTGCCGAATAACAATGATGGATGTAACCACATGACCATAGTACATTACTCCAGGGCAAAGGCCTGTGGAATTATCTATGCTTTTAGGCTCTAACGGAAGATTTGGAGATTTGGGGCTAATCTAATTGTCAGGTTTTACAATGTCTTATGGTGTAATATAGCTGAGTCATGCACTGCTAATAGGCTTCTATTGGAAATGCTGAGTCATGCATTAACTGTATATAGAACATCATTTGGGGAATGTGTTCTGGCCTGGTCCAGGTGATTGTGAATGATGCAATCCTGGGTCTGAGTTAAGTTAATGAGTTGGGAACCAATCAGAGATTGCTATGTGTAAAGGTACAGAATTGTATATAAGGAAGTCATGTACAGTGTATACTCTCTCCTTGTGCTGTGATGCTGTTTGTCGAAGGCTCTGTGTAATTGATTAAAAGAACCTGGACAAGATATAACCGTGTGCTGTGGTAAGTTTGTGGTGTCATCTAGACTGGGGGAAAAACAATGGTAAAACTGCCAATAACCGGGCATGTGCTCAAGTGTCTGTAAGGAGTTCCAGAGTGACTGCAGTCTGTGGGAGCAGTTGACTGAAAATACTGTGCAGGAAGAAGCTACTGGAAAGTGCTGAAGTTGTGCAACTGACCTGCTACTGAATTGTGAGATTAATCACGACACTAATCTCTCGGGGGGGGGGGGACATTCCAGAGCCAGGGAGCCACCACCGAGGTGACCCTCTCGTCCCCACCAACCCCACCTGTGATGGTGGTGGGACCGAGAGAAGAGCCTCCCCAGCAGATCTCAAGGCCCACACTGGTTCATAGAGGGAGATGCAATCTCGAAGATAGGTTGGACTCGAAGCATATAGGGCTCAATAGGTAATAAACTGCACTTTGAATTGGGCCTGGAAACTTTTCGGGAGCCAGTGGAGCTGCTTTAATAAGAGTGTGTGTCAGACTGTAGGATCTGTATAGCAATATTAAATAACCACTCACAAGCAGGTTTGCTTTGAAATTGATATATTGCTTGTATCTCTGCAGCAAAGAAAGACAGTACGGACTTTTTCCCACCACCACTTCCTTTGATACACCTTTCCTGCCCATGTTCCCCTCTTCTCAGTTTCCTTAATTAGAAACTATTGTTGCTTCACAAGTTCCAACACAAGGTTTCCAGCGCCCTTCAAAATGTCACAGAGAGAGAACTGATTCAGCCAGGATGATTCAGTCAGGATGTCATGGAGGGAATTTGCGATGTCTTCATGCCATCAGAAATTGACTCCTGGCAGCGTGGTATGCTCCCTCTAGCTAGCCCCAGTTAGTAATCTGGCAGCCGACCTTTACACTAATTGAAGTTCCCGAGCCTTCTTCAAAACAGGCCCCACATAGAGTGCATTACAGTAGTCCATTCTGGATGTAACTAAGGCGTGGACCATTATGGCCAAGTCGGGCGTCTCAAAGTACGGCTGCTGGATGGTTCACTGCAAAAGCCCCCCCCCCCCCACCGCCACCGCCAACACCTGAGCTTCAAGTGTCAGCAATTAATCCAGGAGGACCCCAGGCGGCGGACCTGTTTTTATTTTTCGTATCAGGAGCGAACCAAAAGTACATCTGCAATGCATTTTTTAAAAAGCACAGTTTTAAAAACTTGGCATTATTTTAAGTATCCGTTGACCAATAGCTGACCCCTTGGAGCGCCTCTGGTGTTGCTGGGAGAAGGCCCTCCGTTGTGCATGTGGCAGGGCTTAGACTGCATTGTGATTGTGTTTATTGTAATGTTATATTGCTAATGCATTCATATGTTTTTATGTAATTGTGATGTTGTTGCTTGTTTTTGGTTTTATTTTGCTGTAATATGTGGTCTGGGCTTGCCCTCATGTCAGCCGCCTTGAGTCCCCGATGGGGAGATGGTGGCAGGGTATAAATAAAGATTATTATTATTATTATTATTATTATTATTATTATTATTATCTGTGTTGCTTTGCCTATGCTGGAAGCCACCCCGAGTCCCCGTTGGGGAGATGGTGGCGGGGTATAAATAAAGATTATTATTATTATTATTAATATGGATTTATCAAAAACAAGTCATGCCAGACTAATCTGATCTCTTTTTTCGATAGAATTACAAGCTGGGTAGATGTGGGGAATGCCGTGGATGTAGCGTACCTGGATTTCAGTAGTAAGGCCTTCGACAAGGTCCCCGATGACCTGCTGGCAAACAAACTAGTCCAATGTGGGCTAGGCAAAACTACGGTGAGGTGGATCTGTAATTGGTTAAATGGACGAACCCAGAGGGTGCTCACCAATGCTTCCTCTTCATCCTGGAAAGAAGTGACGAGCGGAGTGCCGCAGGGTTCCGTCCTGGCCGGTCCTGTTCAACATCTCCATTAATGACTTATCTTACACCACTGCTGTATATGACTGAAAAGTTTTGACTTAGGACTCTTGCATTCTCTGCTCGGATAGCCAATACTCCAGAGGACAGGAGCACGATTCAAAATGATCTTGACAGATTAGAGAGATGGGCCAAAACTAACAAAATGAAGTTCAACAGTGACAAATGCAAGATACTCCACTTTGGCAGAAAAAACGAAATGCAAAGATACAGAATGGGGGATGCCTGGCTCGTGAGCAGTACGTGTGAAAAAGATCTTGGAGTCCTCGTGGACAACAAGTTAAACATGAGCCAACAATGTGATGTGGCGGCAAAAAAAGCCAATGGGATTTTGGCCTGCATCAATAGGAGCATAGTGTCTAGATCTAGGGAAGTCATGCTACCCCTCTATTCCGCTTTGGTTAGACCACACCTGGAATATTGTGTCCAATTCTGGGCACCACAATTACGTCAACGCAGAGATACTGACACCCCCATATCAAGCTAGGACAATACATTGCTGTATCCGAGTATAGGAGCGTGTTTTCCTGACCTCAAATGACCAAGAGCAAGTCATGCTCCCGAAGAACCTAAGCCACTTAATCCTTATGCAGCGCAGCGTCTTAAGAGAGGCTAGGGCATGTTGAGCCTGAAGCACGATGAAGGTTCTGCAGGAGAGACTAACGATGTAGTGCCCCCATGTACATACAATCATGTTGACGAGGACGGCCACATGGCAGCAGTGGCGAGCAAGCTTGTTTCCGTGCCTTTTCTCTTCCTTGGAGACTAGGACGCAAGGGCAACAATGGCTTCAAACTACAAGAGAGGAGATTCCATCTGAACATGAGGAAGAACTTCCTGACTGTGAGAGCCGTTCAGCAGTGGAACTGATATCGAGACCGCTTTTTGGAAGGATCTCCCCAGCGGAGGAGATCCCGAGGACCACACCAAAGAGGGTCCTTGGACCTTGGTGAGGGCAGAGAAGCCAATTCCAGCAGCAAAAATTATTAAAAATAATAAATCCTCACCAAAGGGGAAGAAGATGGCGACTGAGGTTCTTTATTAGCGATTCAGCTGAGATCGGATGCAACTGTAGGGATATTTCCACTACAAGCATTCCAATACAGAATTTACAGGCATTTTTATAGGCAAAATACAGAAAAACATTTCAAATTTCCCGCCCGCCCCTCTCCGCCCGGCTTCACGCTGATTGGTTGACAGCCTGAACAGCTGGGAGGAGGCTTGGCGGCCCGCCTTGCTCTGGGGCAATCAGCAAGCTTCCCCGCCTCCTCTCGCTTCCGAGGATGGACGAATCAGGAGAGAGGAGGCGGGCCGATCGCGGACAATGGGGAAATGATGGGATTATCTCTTGCCGGCCAGCTGGAGTTTCGAGGCATTGTTTTGGCCGGCAAAAGCTGGTTTTATTAAGAAAGGTTTTCCTACCTTAGATCTGATAAGGATGTCCTTGATGAGTCTTGTGGAGGAAACAAACAGAGCCGGGGCGAGGGGACCCCTGGGGTCAGCCTCGTCCCTTTGTAAAGCAATCATGATGTCCAAAGAAACTTCCTTGTCTGCCAGATGAACTCAGAGAGCAAACAAAAGGATATTTCACTTGTTATTGTCCATGCAAATGTTTGGTGATTTGGCTGGTTTCGAGGGGGGGGATTGCAGCCCTCCCTCGGTCACAGAAGAGTTCCAGGTTGCATTTTCTGGGGCAAAGGGCGAGGTAAGACAGAAGGGCAAATAGATTTCATACATACACAATCAATATATTTCATACAGGAAAAGATCCCATCCCCATCCCTCATCCCAAATATTTAATAAAGGAAAACTATCATTTTATTTGAAAACTTGGGAGTCTGGAGCTTCTTGAAAAAGTTCGTGGAAATAGACGTGGCTGGCAGTCCAAAACAAGCAGCAGAAAGTTATTTCCTTGGTAAAAGTTAGCAGGATGGTCTCTGAGTTGATCTGTAACAAAATCCACAGCTTGGTCCTTGGGGAACTATAACTCCTTCCCAAGGACTGGGCCTCCTGCCCGGCCCTCTCTCTGAGGTCTCATGGGGGCAACCGCATCAAGTCCCCGGGTGCAGAGCTAGGCAGGAGCGAGCAGCGAGGGGAAATTGGCTGTTTGCATGGAGGCGGCGATTTTTGACAATCAGCTGTTTTCTGTCAAATTATATTCTTTAAAATAAAAAGATTATTTCCTGGCCATAGGGATCCAAAGTGAGAAAAGCAAGATAGCAGTTCAGTTAGGAATTAAGCATAGAAAAATATGGCATCAAAACGGGGTCAATCCGCCATTTTGAGATTTTAGCGGATACTGAGATCCGAAAGGCAGATCCCCATATCCGCGGTTCCAATTGACGCAGATTCGGCCTCCCCGGGACGCCAGAAAGGCATCCCAGGCACGGTTCCCCGGAGCCTAGAAAGAGGTTTATTTCATGCATTGGTTAGCTTAGGCAGTGAAGGACACAAAGTATCAAGCGGAAAAGTTAAAAAGTTGCAATTTTCAAGTACTTTTATTAGGGATTAGATACAAAGTCAGGGCTTGGGGAAAGTGTTAAAGGCTGAATGCAGTCCTAGTTTGAGCTGCCTTGTTGGGGCACATTTCATCAGTTTGTCCCAATTGTAGCTTTCCGGAACTGCGGAACTCTCTGCTGCAGTTCAAACCAACTTGAAGGCGGGGGCCTCCGCGGCCCTTGGGGTCAGAACTCTCTGCCCCGGAGTGTGGTGGAGGCTCCTTCTTTGGAGGCTTTTATTTCTTTATTTACCTTGCTTATATACCGCTGTTCTCAGCCCGAAGGCGACTCACAGCGGTTCACAACAACAAGAAGAGACAGCAGAATTCAATGTTACAGTATAAAAGCAGTTGTCAACTTAATACAGTTGCACAATTAATTAACAATTAACAATGACTACAATAGCCATTCACTATCGTCTCATCATCAAAAACATGATCCAGATTTGTCATCCAATGATCCATTCCAGTGTTCATTAACCAATCATTGCACTCAGGCTGGATGGCCATCTGTCAGGGGTGATTTGAATGCAATATTCCTGCTTCTTGGCAGAATGGGGTTGGACTGGA